AAAAAGTATAAGTGTCATTAGGCGTATATTCAGTTGTGAAACCGATATAACAATAACAGATGGTAGTAGCAAAAGTTTTAATTACAGCAACAAATATTTAGTTACAACAACAAATACATTTTCAATAAAGCATGATTAACTGTGAAATATTTTTAATTGTAGTGAAATATTTTTTTTTTTATATCTGTACATGAGAAGGAAGATATTTTGTTGCTTCTTTTTGTCTGGCATTCTCAGAAAATAACTATAATTACATAGTGAAATAATTACAACAAGAAACTTATTTTTATAGAGAATACTGCCATTGTATCATTGATATTAACTTTATATATTTCTTCAATTACTTTTTTGTTAGAGCAACAAAAATATAGCTAGCACTGAAAATAACTGTAATTTATAATGAGATTAACAATTTCTTTTCCTATTTATTAAACTATCACCGAACTATCACCGTATTTTATCGTTGACTCAAATGCAATACACACTATTGAATATAATTATATCTACCTCTTTTTTATCGTTCTTTGCATTTTATTTATTGCGATGCAAGCAGCATTCTGAATTTTTTATCAGCAATCACACGGATGCCAACGATAGCGACCGACATGTTCGTTCGAGCTCCACTTACACTCGTGTTAATTTACAAACAGTAATAAAGCTGCATACGTGCATCGTAACTCTTCATCCAGTTAACCAGAAATGGAAACCGGAGAGCAGTTCAGTAACGTCTCAATTCAGTTCATCATTCGTTCGACCTGAATTAGAGATACGGTCGAATTGTCTTTTGACTATACAGTTCCAGTTAGTCATTTGTCTTCTAATAGAATTGCTAAACTCAATGCGCAAACGGACGAAACTTAAATCACAGTCAAAAGTACTAGAAAAAATGGTATTCTGCTTACAACTTTACTTGTTCTTTCTACCCCAAAAAATTATAGTCATCGTTTCAAATTATTATAAATAAGATCCATAATCTTTGTTAATACTTAATCTTTATCATTCTTGTCAAGTTAGTCCAGTTTGTAAGTATACATTAGATACACTTCTTCACTCTCAAAAGTTACATTTAGGCAATATCAAATATTGTAAAATATATTTTATTTCGTTCAGAAAAAAATGGTTAATCTCACTAAAATTAGTCACTCTCGCTGCCCGCTACATATTTGATCGTTATAATAAAAAAATTATAACAGCAATATACGTTATTATCACTAACACTATAAGAACACTGTAAGAACTTACTGCAAAAATGATTCTCCTGACTGTGATGATTTCATTACGCAGTCAATGAGCATAATCACAGACACTATAAGCATTTTTTCCGTAGTGTTCTATTATTTCCATCTACCACTATTCATGCGAGAAAATCGCTTTTTCCTTCCAACGCGCAGTCCGAATGAAACAGCAAAACTGCACTAAATCGCGTTATGTTGCAAAGATGAAGAGAAAAAGAGTGAAAACTTGAGATTATATTTGCGCGGAAAATTTTTCATCCTTCCGCACGTTCATGTGGCACGTCGAATAGGATAAAGTAATAGGACGGAGAATAAAGCATACTAATCCCAAAGGGAATGGAAAAGCCAGCGCGCGACTCAACTCGTAACGTGGAATTCAATTTGAGTGGAACGACAAAACTGAGCTACGAAGGTCGGTCTCTGTTCTCCTCGAATGCTGGGCTCCTGGTGGTTGTGCCAAGTTGACGCCGAATAAGAACATAAGGGGCGGATGTTTCTCTTACAGCTAGAACTGGCTTTACCAACTTGCCGAGAAGGATATTTCGTGAACCTTTTATGAGTCTGGGGTAGAGGGTAGAGCCTGAAAGCCTTGTGTGTATGTATGTTCATCTCCTTCAGCAGTTTTTTTAAGCAATGTTGTCGATAATAATTTATATAGTCTAAATAATATAAGTCGTTCTTTAACAAAATTATCGTGTACAATTATAATGTGTGTATGTGCATATGTGCGTATTAGAAAACAGTCATTATTTTGTTTTTTTACAATTTTTACAATGAGAGAAAATGATTTTGCGTATGTATGTAAATTTAATTTATCCAATAATAAGATATTTTCAAATATTTCTCATTTGCGCACCGTTACTAAATATAACTTCAAGACGGTTTATTAATGATAAACAGTTACGTTTGTTCGAAATTGAAATATTGCACTGAGCTCTTTATATGTAACAAGATAATGACTACATCACCATAATTATATAGTTTGAGCAATGGAAACTGTCACTGATTGGTAAGACACAATTTCTGAGGCAAGAAAAAATGAGAAAAATATTGTACGCTCGAGATTTATGACAAATAGAGGAATCATAATCTTCGCATGTCAAATGACGTAATTAAAAACAAAAAACAATTAGTGTCGAAATCAAACTATATTAAGCAATATTCTCCTCGCGTAACACTTTTATATTTTAAAATAAATAAGACAGCTATATTGCTACAAACCATTTAGCCTATTGATGATTTATTGGATGAATTATCGTCAATATTCTTTAGAATTAGTGAAATATAGAATCATTATCACTTGGTGCTATTAAAAAAATACTAATATTTTAAAATTATACATTTACTTTTTCAGCAAGAGTATCCATTTTTTTATCACTTTGCCCCTTCGTGATATGATTGTTTCAGTTCTCTTCATAATCCTATAAGATAATTCAGCGTTTTCACATATCCTGTATATTGTTACAAATAACTTCACCAAATTATTTACACAATAACGCAACCACAATACATTGAACTGATATGAATAATTAAACGTTTGATATATAAACACAACATATAAAACTGTACATAATACACTCTATGTTCGAAATTTTGTTCATCACCCGACGCGATCTCTCACAGAACTAAGGATATGGTCAAAGTCGAGCTGAATTAGAAAGCTATTTCTAATTTTTTGCATTTGGAGCACACACATATATCTAGGGCAAAATTTTAGAGGGTTTGACAGTTTATTACCCTAACTGAAAAGCGCTTTGGGTTGCTCGGTTAGGCACCCATTTTTTTGAATCATTAGAAAGTCCTGAATTGGCAGATACCTGCCAATGGCTAGCACAATAGTAAGCAAAAAATAAATCTAGTTTTCACGCTCCACTAACCGTAGCATGCTATTCTGTACATATTTTCAAAATCATTGGATGTATTACATGTAGCTCTAGTAAATTGAGTGGAATGATTAATTGATTAGCAGAATTGATCGCAATGATTCGTTAAAAAGTAATCTTACCATTTCTTTAAAATTTTAAACTTTTTTTCGAGATTTATTCATACGTGTCTGTGCACAAAAAAAATTCAGTTTATATAATTGAATGGGAATTAGACGAAAAACTCGCTGACGAAAAGTAATATCTCTATTACTGTGAAAATATCTGCCTGAAAATTCAGCTGCGTTAAAACTCGATTGAAGTAACTGAGAGAATTGGCCGAGCGAAGACCTCCTACAGGAATCTATCTTCCTGTTTCTACAGCCGAATTTTTCATCTAGCTCTCAGATAACAGAAAATTCAATTATACTAACAGAATTATTTCTTCCGCATGAGATATCTTATTATATCAGCGTATAAAGGAAAGTTCTATAAGATAAATTATATCAGATTAGACTTTATATTATATGCTAATACTTACCGACGAATCTTCAAGATGAAGTTTTTTTCGGCAAACATCAAGAGAATCTTTCAAATATAATAGTAGTAGACGCAAAAGATTCAACTATAGAGTTTATCTATTAAGATCTACACACATCTGCTTCGTATGATTATTAAGATATACACACTTAGGAAATAATTAAAGTGATTAATTTTCTAAATAATAAAAATTCGGAATGTGTTAAATAATTAGTTAAATACGTTAGTTAACATACGTGAATTATGTAATGATTACTACTACTTTCTATTATAAAGAATATACAAAGGCAATGTACCGCCTTTTATAATCATAAAGTAAGACAAGTATACATCCGATATATAATCTGTATCTACTATATCGACTTAGAACGAATCTTGCATATTTCAGCACTAAAATTACTTTCTTCTTAATTATACATAAACGATTTGGAAAGTATAAATTTGTAAATATACATCCTGTTCTATACTATCTCATAAAATAGTTGTTCTACGTTTATCAGTATATAACTAGTGAATTTACATAAAATATAAAGAGAGTCTACAATTACATAGGCGTGATTAATTTTTGAGCATTGAGTTTCAAAATATTATTACGAAAATACCATAAATTTCATTTTTAATGAGCGAGATAAATATTTGCTCCGCAAATATATCTTGAAAAAATACATAAAAAAATTTTAATCTATTGCACCTTCGCTTTATGCGGAAGAAATTTCACGTTCTTTTCTGCAATTGCTTTGGCACTAATTTAACATATTTTATTATTGCACTTCGATACAGGAATAATCTTGTGGTTTTATGTACAAGAGTAGCATATAAGTTTTACCTTACGGACATATTTTATATCGTACAAATACAATTGAAACGGGAGTGGGTAAATGTGGGAATTGAAGAATTTGAATAAAATGCACATTTCTAAAACCATATTTTAAGATAACAGAAACAATTCGCACCGCATTAATGCATTTCATATTATCATTATTCTAATTATGTCATAATAAAAAAAAACAAAATCATAATTTAAATATTTTTGAACATTCATTTTAACAAAATTATCGAGTTCTTAAGTTATAGTTTAATATCAAGCATGAATATCTTGTGTTGAAAAGCTGAAGTACAAATTGAACTTGTGTATTATTTTCATTCGGCAAATAATATTACATGTAATGGATTATATGTGCCATGGGAAAATCATAAAAATATTAAATATATTATATTAAGAGTTTTTTAGCTTATATATGGAAGAAAAAATTGATTTTTACATTTTAATAGGTGTATACGTTCATCAAAACGTTCTGTAAAAAAATTGCAAAAATACTTTTCTTCATTATTTTTACGCGTATAATGGATTGAACAAAATCAGTTTGACAAAGAAAACATGACGATTTATTTGTAATATTTTGTTATATGTTTATATGTCATATGTCATATAAAGGATGGAGTTTTTTTTAACGGAATATTAAACTATTAATATTCACACATATAATTTACAGATACAGCGCATGATAATATACAGTGTGACATGAAGTGGCTAGTCGATTTGTTTTTCAATACCTCTTTATCGTGTAAACAGAAAAAAATGTAATATAACTTAAATCTTTACAACACAGTTTCTTTCTTCAATCTGTCAAGAATGACATAATGCATAGTTACAGCTTTTCCATCGCTACATATAAAAATAACAGAAAAATATTTTAGCAACTGAATTACAAAAAACATCTAAAACATCTCTATATAAAAACAACTTTTCTTTTAAATAAAACGTGTTTTCTAGCACCCACTTTTTTCGGTGCTTCAACTATACAATATAATCTTTCATTTCATTAATTATTCCAATGTTTGTAATTCTAAACCATTGATGGAAAATTAGCATTACTTTGGACATTGCAAATTTTTTCTATGGATTAGAAAACGTACAACTTCCGTTTGTAAATTAGTAGATCTGAAATTTCTCTTTAGTTCGTGCACCGTAAACTTGTGGGTTGAAAAATTATGCCAGTATTTAGAGCGGACAAAGATAATAATGTCTATTTATGCTTCCTTTCCCTATTCCTTTACGTGTCCTGTGTGTGTATGTGTGTATATGTGTGCGCGCCTGTGTATGGATTACTGTGATAATAATGTTATTATTATTATGTAGGCTGATAGGTACATACAAAACAACACACAATAAAAACAATAACATAATATTAACGTGACGCTCACAATGATAATAATAATAATAATAATAATAATAATAATAATAATAATAATAATAATAATAATCTTAAGAATTTGAATATTCGTAATAAACATCGTCAGTAGCATATAATTAATTACAATCAACTTGCAGCAAAGCTCAGACGGCACGGCAAACGTAACATGACCGCTACCATCCACTCGAAATTTCCTATTTAAATGTTCCACTTAAAAATTATGCATTTTTTTATCACTTATACTGTTGTGTTATATTATCGCCGTTACATAATTCTGTTACAGTACCATGTGGCAGAACTATACAATTGTCCAGAACTCAGTCTCTCATACGAGTTCATATTTACTCTCTGTCATACTTGTTATCGCCGCGTTTATCTATTTATCGTCGCTCGCAGCTATCCCGCATCCCTAAAAATTTCCAATCCTCAATTTACTCTCTTGTCTCTCTCTCTCTCTCTCTCCCTCTCCCTCTCCCTCTCTCTCTCTCTCTCTCTCTCTCTCTCT